CGTAAGTATAATCGCTTTCCAATAAAACAAATGACGCGTAAAGCGTACGAGATTTGCGCAAAACGGATCCCAAGCTAGCTGGGTAATACTCGTGATGTCGAGACTGCGTAGTGTACTTGTGTTGAAAGCCTTATGAAGCCCACACAATGTGCACGAGTTTACCCTGCTCGTGGGGCGTAATTCGTTTGGACGGCCTCTACTGATTTTTCCCCTGTCTCCAACCCCATCTGTGATCCTGCCATTTTGCTAAGGCTTTCTGGGCCCAGTTTGAGGACTGGTTACAGGACCTCCCCCTTACCTTTTCCTGACCTGTCTTGGCTTTATGATAATGTCTATTGTCTCAATTCATTTTCCAAGTCTGTCATTTGTGCCTATGTTTTCTTTTCTCTAATGTTACAGGGTACAGCTGAACGAGTAAGCCTTCCGAGACACTTGTCGTATGTGGCAAATAAAGGCATCTTGAATCTGGACCGCTGCCTTCATTACATACGGTATCTCTGCTGTCCAACTACCCCCCGACGTGTTGGACAGGATTTGAGCCATAGTGAACAGTGGAAAGGGTGGGGAACACCCCTGGGGGGTGATCAAAGGCAACAGATAGCCTGGTCCGGTCTGTTATTAGAGAGAAGGGAGGGAGGAGGAAGAAGAAAATCTGTGGGAAGTTGAGGGGGAAGGTTTGTATCTCAAAACCCCTGTGATATTCCAAACAGATCGTCTGGGGAAAAGTGTTATTTTCCACGGGGGGGAGAAAGCATAAATTCACGTCGTGTTGAGGAAAAAGCGATTTAAAAATAATATACGATCTAATTTATGTGAACAAGAGGTATTCCTCTTTTGGCTTTGGAATATTTTCTGAACAGGTCTGTGTATATGCTGTTTTAGGGATTTATAAGACTGGGAAGTTTTATTTTTGGTGTCATTCGCGCTCTCCCCGCTGGTCTCGGTCAAGGAGCAGATCTGGAAGTGCAGGCGGGCGGCTGGGGCACTGTGTTTGCTGTGATCAGGCCGCGCAGGGCGCTGGAGAAGCGAGGTCGTGGAAGCGCTTGCAGGTCCAGCTCACTCGAGTTAGACATGAAGGTTTGGATACGTGGGGGGGGGAAACGGCATTCCTGTTGACATCCGAAAAAGAGAACTTCACTCTCCGATTTCTTCTCGACGTCTATGGAAAAGTCACTCGTAGTTTGCCAAAGCCAGCCCAAGATGCGCGTTTCCGCAAAAGAAACTACGGAGGCAGCTCAGGCTAACTCGCATTACGGACAGAAGCGCGCACGGTAAGCGTGCGTTGTCTTCCGAAAGCGGCCGCGCACATTAGCGACCTCTGCTGGCCGAGAGAGCGAAAAGCTTACAGCACCTGGTATTCCCAGGCGGTCTCCCATCCAAGTACTAACCAGGCCCGACCCTGCTTAGCTTCCGAGATCAGACGAGATCGGGCGTGTTCAGGGTGGTGTGGCCGTAAGCGAGAGCAGGGATGCCTGACTCGCTACTTCACTGTGTCGTACCTCTGTGCCTCAGCCACGCTTAACATCCGAACGGAACTGATACAGAAAAATTACATCGGATCCTTCACACATCCTACACTCTGAATACCAACTACTTCCTTCAGGCAAACGTTTTTGGGTTCCCAAATGTAAGTCAGACAGATACAAAGATTCCATTGTTCCGCTGTCCATTACTGCTGTCAACGCAAATGGATAAACACACAATTTGTGACCTTTACAATCCACTTCTGTGCAATATGTTTTGTAATGTTATAAATGTTATGTGTTATACAGAGTGATGTGCAATGATTTTTGGTGTGTGTGCGCGCACATTCTATTTAGATGTACAGAAGTGCTGTGTGTCCACAAACAATAACCCTTAGGGGACAAGAAATATTAACTATATTAACTGAAGGCGAATTAATTTGCACTTCATTGGAATTCGAATTTGTAAGAGATCCGTTGTAGGTTCAGGAAAGGTATTTTTTTGGACTGTGGGTCGGAAACCCACAAGATCGTGGAGAGAACATACGAACTGCACCCAGGGCAGCCACACAGCCCACTACGCCACGAGTGTCCCCCCCAATTCTAAAATACGATCCACGAAATCGAATCAATATTCGAAGTGACTTTGAAACAACTGAGAACAGGAACCC